TATTGTATTTTCAGGTTTAAGGTATACTCATCACACAATTGGAATGTATTAAAGTCGTACTTGTCACATAAATTCCAAATACTAATGCTGCAAAATATGTTAATAAATTCTGAATAAGGCTTTATTTCCAAGCAATTACAGATCAGCTTTGGGCAAATCAAAAATTAATCTTTACAGACATGATGTCTGCTTACTAACATTGGCTCGTTGTATTAGAAAATGTAGGTGAATTCTGCATCGGCACCACCAATGGAATAATGATTTCTTATTCAGTAAAAGAGATTAAATTCATTATATTATTGAATTCCGATTTGTAAACAATCTGAGGATTAGTTTTCCAGAGGAGAAAATAAAAAGTGCAGGGAAAAAGTGTGCACTTATCTGATTTATTTAGACTCTGGATTTTTTTCTGGAAAAGGTGCTCTTTTTGAAAGGGTGAGGGGATGGACGTTTTGTAACGTCTTTTTGAGACTCATGAATATGGCAAACATTCAATCAATCAATCCCAAAAAACATTTCTTACAAAAATTCCAGCCACAGTTTAAATAGCTTTATGTAATGTGGCAGCAATTAACATGAAAATAAAAATGAGAAATGATTATAAAGTGATAGCATGAAAGGATAAAATGCTATCCACAGGTTCAATTATTTAAATTAAAATAATGATCATTTAAATTCTACAAACTTGGTTATTAACCAGTGATTTTAACATTGGAAGTCTAATCAGGGCTTTATCTCCTGATAGAAATCCATCAATAATTCATTCAGGATGAGTTTTCTGACAAAGCGTGTTGTTTTTTTACTAATTTGTCCCTTTGTAGGAAGATATTTTTGTCCTTAACTTTGTCAGTTTGTCCTCCCATTTCATTGGTCTCTTGAGCCGTACATGTTGTAAATCTTGTAGGAGGCCTGTTTTTCCTTCGGGAAGCTGGAAACTTGAAAGGCTGGAAAGCCCAGTGTGAGTCTGCTCAGCCTCTTGTCCGGACCAGTTAACCCTAACTGCTAAGAGTCAGTTCCTCCACCTCAGCCAGCCCCGTAGGATTATAAATGGTGGCTGAGACTCAAGTGGAAAAAAAAAGCAAAATTGTTAAATGAGACTAGTTATCCTTGTTTATTGACAGTGATAACAATGGAAAACCAAGAGAACCACTGATTATGGAATTGTAGAAACAAAGAATACAAACTCCTGCAGAGTTCGGTCTGCCTGCTTGCGTGTTATAATTATGGTTTCAGCAGCATTTGCCTCAAGTCATGACTCATTCTTTGCTCAGGCTTAATTAATATATATATTTATTTGACAAGGTCAATTCCTGAGCAATTCTACACAATTCTGTTGTGAAAAACCCATACTGTACCAACCTCAAATCAGGCATGTTTGTATATTAATCACACAATACATGCTTTTTCTACTCTTGAATGTCCAAATTTGTACGGCTCTTTCAAAACACAGGAGCCATTGTATAGGTTATCTGATTATTTTTTTGTCTACCTAATGGCCATTTTGAATTTTGGAAAAAAATAGGTTGATGGGTGGTTTTTGTTTTGCAGCATAAATCAATGTTATATGTAGGAATTGTGATTGGAAAGATAGAAAAAAGAAAGAACATTTGTGTTAGAGCAATTTTTCTCCCCTCTGCTTCTTTTGCAAAGGCAAAAAAAATTAGACAAACGTAGACTTTCCCTCCCACACTTTATTTGTAGTCCTCTTTTCCCAGGACGCGTATAAAAGGAAAAATGAATTGGCTATCTCTTTACATCTCCTCACTAATGCTCTCCAGTGGCTCTGAGACCCCCTATCCTTTTTTTCAAGTGAGTTTAAAGCTTCTGGCCCAGCTGGATCTCCCTTTGTAAGCAAACTTTCAAAGTATTACAGTGTCACTAATCATTCACGTTACAGCATTCGAAGCTCCAAGGCCTACTCCAGCTCCGCAAAACCATTATGGTGCCATAATGTTTAAGAAAAAGGAAACTTTGATCTCTTCCAAGGAGCTGAAGTGAGTTCTTTGAGAACCCCCCCCCCTCATTCTCTTGCCTCTCTTGTGGAGCAAAAGGACTCTAAACAGTAGGATTGGAAAAGATTTCTCTGTAAGACGAATGGCCCACACTGCAGAGCCCCGGTGCCTCCTCCACCCCATCAAATTAATAATGAATGGTCAGGGTGATAACGAATAAAAGGGGGAAAGAATGAGGGGTTTACATTTTTCTGACAAGGTTTTATGGCCAAGCTGATTCCCGGGAACAGTTTTATCTCTCCCACTAGTCATCTCCTGTGCCCCCATTATCTGGTCTATCTGCGCATTCCATTAACGCAGACCGAGAGCCGAAGAGCAGGCTGACAGGAGGAGAGGGCTTTCGCCAGTATTGCAGCTAATCCTGCCCTCGCAGAGGAAAGCAAAGCGGGGTGTGCTGAGAGAGAATGAATCGTAGGTAGTAGTAAGTGTATGTGACGCTCTGTGTTGGCCTTATCCTGTAGAACATCCTGCTGGGATTTGTAACCATTTGTTTGCGAGTTTGGTCCAGAAGAGATCTCAGAAACATTGGTGCAAGACATCTCACACAGTCTCCCTGGGCCTGAGGCCTTGTTTTTTGGAATCCCCCGAGAAACCGTATGATGGTCCTCCTGACCCTGGTCCATTCCAGTCTCGTGTCGGTCTGGTTTCAGAGGCTTTCCGACAAGTAACCAGCGGTACAGCAAGTGTGCCTTGAATAGTCTTTTTTTTTGTGTTGTTTTTGTTCTCATTATTTATGTACACCACAAGGAATGTGTGGCCGCTTTTAGTGAGTGGGGCTGACTGAGCTGAAACTGGCCATTTCCATAATTGTAAGCCACTTCTTCTTTGGTATTAACATGGTTTTATGTGATATAGGCAGTAACAGCGTGTGGGTCCGACCACAGGATAGGCATTGTGGACTTGATTTGTAATGGCCTGGTTGAGGTGCAATGTCAGCCTGCCTGATTGATAGTGCAGCAGTAGACTTAGAGTACATTTTCCGTAGTGTAGTGAGAACATTTCACAAAAGCACTTCCTGTCATGCTTCCTTTGATGCCTGCAGTCTATTCCAAGTTCTTTCTGCTTTTCCATAGATATTGTCAAGCAGTTATTTCCTCTGCTGTTACAGAGTTCATACAGGCCTTGCACATCACATTAGATCTCACATACTTTATCACTTAGAAAAAAAAGTTCAGTCCGGATAACGTCATGTTTACTACAGAGTATGAAGAAAAATGTAATTATACTTTACAACTGGGAGCTGCTACTTTTTTTACCACATACAAACCTCAGGGAGAATGATGTTCATTATCTGGCTAATGAAAATGAAATGAGAACATTTTCAGATTTAAAATGATAAGCAGGTTCAATACTATATTAGTGCAGCATTGGATTTCAAGTTCAATAGGTGGTGTACAGACAAGACTTGGAAAAAGATTTGGATTAGAACTCGTGACTCGTGATTTTTAAAGTAATGTTATAATATTGCAGCAATAATAAACAAAAAAGACATAAAGACAGTAGTTAATCCGAGACAGCTGCACGACTCAATTTCTTACCGCAAAACACTTCATATTGGACCACTGGCCTTGCACTCCAAATTGGATATCCAGTGCTGTGAACTGATGTGTTTTTTTTGTTTTTAAAGCACTTTTTAATTTCTCTCCATTGTCTGATTTATATCGCTTCAGAAAAAAAAAACAGTCATCTGAATTTCCACTGTCTGATACAGGGCCTGTAGCAGAAACCTTTGCTGGGAACACATTTCAGAGCTGTCCTTGTTGTAGTCAGTTGCAGTGTTAGTTTCATTGATACATCATCATGACTGCTCCATCTGTCCATCACTGATGCCCAATTACGTGTTCGTGGGGCGGTAAATCTCCAGTCTCGGTTCCAAACATTGAGGTGAAGTGGTTGATTCAGAGCATCAATCCACACATTTCACACATACATACTGCCTATTAGCAGCAGTTTGTAAAGTGTCAAACGTTTTTTTTAACTTTGAGGTAATCACAGTCTGTGTGAGCCTAGATAAGATGTCTGGGATTGGTTCAACTGTTTGTGCAGCAGTATATCTTCAACATTTATAAGCCTGTCCCATGAAGTCTCTTCTTTTCACTCATCATAACAAGAAACAGAATAGTGTATATTTTTTCTTAATATATCAGTGTGTAGTGATGTGTTCTCCTCACCGTATAGCTGATTAGCTGACCCCTGCAGAAAGGCAAGGGCCTATACCACTTATAAATCTAGGTCTTGTAGGCTGTAGGAGTAACCACAAATCCTTTTAGTCTCCCTGCTTTCACCTTTACATTTCCCAGAACCAAGTGCAGATCAAAAGAAAAGCCCTTATATTCAGAAGTCTGTGTTATCATGGGGATACCAGAAGATTATAAAGTTGGTCCATTTTATTTTTATACCTGACGTAAGATTTTATGCAAAGTCCCATTATCAGCAGTAATAGGATTCCAAAAATTAAATTTGCTTTGGTGGCTTTTATGCCTAATCTCCTTTTTCATAGGGGTTTGATGCATTCCTACTTAAGAAATCATTATGCTGCGGTTTTCCAGTTACGTCCTTGTATTGATCATTTGACTGTGTTTCTCCAATAGGTTTACTTCAATAGTTTCACAATAACTGTTTTGTGATTGGCTACCCTGTTTTGTAGGGTGGCTACAAATTTCCACGGATGGAATTTACATCGTCTTACGGTCTATTTGCACAGCCGAAACTGGGTTTTCCAATCTGACTGCCTCGTCAAGGCTGCCACTGGTGGGAAATCAGGGAAGCAAATAAGACTCCTATTGCATAGCAGTTTGTGGTCCATTTCAGGTTTTATGACGTTTAGACTACTGGGCATTGATGCTACAGGAAAGTAAGTCAATCTGTGGAGGAGCATGGGGTTAGTATTTGAGCAGCATCTTTTCAGCTTCATCAGAACAGCCTGTTGTGTTGCATCCTGGCATTCCGACCTGCGCTGCAGTGTGCGTCTCCCTTTCTTTCCCTCAGATCTCCTTCGATTTGGCCGAATACACTGCGGACGTGGATGGCATCGGCACCCTGCGGCTCCTGGACGCCATCAAGACGTGTGGCCTGACCAGCGCGGTGCGCTTCTACCAGGCGTCCACCAGTGAGCTGTACGGCAAAGTGCAGGAGGTCCCTCAGAAGGAGACCACCCCGTTCTACCCCCGCTCTCCGTATGGTGAGGGCCGCCGTGCTGGTGTGCGTTGCTCCGCTGTGTGGGCTTCAGGGGCGTGCCGTCCCTCCCTGTCTGCTGGGACCTGGACGGCTCATCTTTGTGAACGATTCCTGCGCCGTTAGCCTGTCGACATGGCTGAAGAACGTGCCAGTTTTCATTTTCCAATCCATGCTAATGGCACTTCTTTTGTGTAGTGGACAATATTTTGTGTAATAAGAAGAGTTCCTTGTAGTTCTGTAGTGCTCTTCATCGCCGAGGAACTCACACTTCATCAGCCTCTGTAACAGATGAGGTAAAAAAGTAAGAAACCACTCCACCAATTTAACGAAGGGTGAGATTTTAAATTAAGTCACATGTGGAGATTTTATAACTTCAGTGCACACGTAACCACAGTGACACACACCTTCACCCCTTTACGGGACACTAGGCACTATTTGTTTGCCTTCGTTGCCAGCATCATAATCTAGCGGAGTGGTGGCTTTGTGGCTAAGGATCTGCGCCTGTGACTGGAAGGTTGCCGGTTCAAATCCCGCGGCCGGCAGAGGAATCCTACTCCGTTGGGCCCCTGAGCAAGGCCCTTAACCCCAACTGCTCCAGGGGCGCCGTACAATGGCAGACACTGCGCTCTGACCCCCAGCTTCTCTCCCTGTCTGTGTGTCTGTGTCTCCATGGAGAAAAAGCTGGGGTATGCGAAAAGACAAATTCCTAATGCAAGAAATTGTACAGGGCCAATAAAGAAACATTATTACATTATTATTATTAGTTTTAAAACTCTTCTTTCTTTTACTGCTGCATATACACAAAGTACGTTTAAGAAGAGGAAGACACGTGCTCTCAGTAAGTCCATCTCATGTGCCTAGCCTGCTTTTCTCATGGCTTTATTTAAAAAGCGTCTAGAGTGGATTGAAGCAGCGTGGGTGTCTTGGGCTGAACTCTCTCACGTTTACAGGGCGGTCAGGTTACTCTTGGAAGACCACTGTTTTTCACGTTTTGTAAAGACATTCTTGTCTTCCTTTTAGGGCTACAATTAAGTGCATCGCTAGGTATTTCTCAACTGCCCCTTATTCTTTTTTTTAAATGTGTTTTAGCACTACTTCTTGGACTAATGGTGCAAATGTTGCTGACCTGCTGCGATGCATTTCTTGATCAATAATTAATAGCTTCCAAATGTGGAAATAATTAGAGTTCAGTGATTATATGGCCTAAATAGATGTTATTGAGAAATGCAGACAGTTTTATCCATTTATATCTCTAAGTAAGCTTTCGTATTCGATCATTATTTGTAAGGCGGATTTGTTTTTTTTTTCTTTGTTGTATGGACATCGTCTCAAAGAAAAAATAAATAAAGGTACATATTGTGAATCTTCCCAATCCAATACTGTGTTGCAGGTCACATTTTTTTTATTTATATTAACACTTTGGTTTTGTCTGCCCGGGTGAGCTAAATGTTTTCTTTTTTTTTACTTGACATTGAAATTGCACCCCTGTCTTTAAAAATGAAGCAAAAAGATGAGAGAAGTACATTTACCCCTCTGATATCAAATGCAGAGCACCTAATCCCATTTTAGGATGATGACTGATGCTTTTTAGAGATTGAATGGAAAGTGATAAGGTTTCAAATTCTTTGTTGCCTAAATGAAAAGTCCTCTAAGAGCTCTCGTCTCTCCCAGGCTGAGTATGAAATGTGTCACGCGAAGAAATGAAGAGCTCTGGCTCAGGCGAGATGATTGGGTTTCCTTTAACAGCCGGTCGATGTTACAGAACGCTCTCCCGCACTTCTCTATTATGACATGTCATAGCTTTTTAATTAAAGGTCACCCATGTGACGTATTCAAAACACCGCCTTTACCTCCCCAACAACAGATTTATATTGAAACGAGTGTCCGACTTGTCTGCTTTAGTGGTCTAAAGAAAACAACGGTGGAGAAGCCTCATTTCTTTGTTGGTATCTCCCGCACAGGAAAAAAAAAAAAGCTTTTATCCCTTCAGCCAGCCTCCCACCATCAACTACACGTCTCTTTACCTGTGAAATATTATCAGCCGGTAGAGTCTGATGGCGTTACTCTTCTGCACAGGGGTGTCGCTATCCTGCCATGGTGTAAATCTCATTTTGTTCTCTCTCTCCCAACCAGGAGCAGCCAAGCTTTACGCCTACTGGATCGTGGTGAACTTTAGGGAGGCGTACAACCTCTTTGCCGTCAATGGCATTCTTTTCAACCACGAGAGCCCGAGGAGAGGTAAGAAAACTCTAAACCACTCCTTAGGACATTTTACACCCTTCAAGAACACTGGGGACGCCGTAAATTATCACGGAAGGGGGCTCAGATGAGCCCCCAAGCCTCTAGAATGGGCCTGTTCCTGGGGTTCAGGAGAGACAAGCCGACTTACTGTGTGTGACCGGACTCCCTGAAGCTCTTTTCTGTATTTAGCTGCATGCCCCCGTCTTAAGGCTTCTACCAAAAAGTATGTTAGTTCAATAAGAGCATGCATTAAACATACAACATTTAGACAGTATATATGGGTACTCCACTGACATTTTGTTCAAATAACTGATCGTACAGTATAACCTAGAGGTCTTGGCTAAACCCGGAGAACAAGTTTTATCAGGTTTGTTTTACCAAAGGTTTGTCTTCTCCTCCTAGACAAAAAGGAACGTTTATGCTGCAGATAATACACATGTCAGGCTGGATTCTGGCATCACATCTAGAGTAGGTGGTGTGAAAGATACCTGACACTGCATTGCTTTATGGCATAACACAAAGAAATCAACAAGAGAATTCAACAGAAAATGAGTAATTCTTCAAGCAGCTCTTCACAGTATTTTCAGTGTCATATTTCACATAATATTGATATAGTTGCAGTTAAAAGAGATGATTTTTTTCCATGTTTGAAAAGCAGGTCATTTATACGTGTTACTTGCTCCGCCTTTATGCTCCCAGTTTGGTGTGTCAGCCATTTTTGATCCCACCCTGCATATGAGCATCCCAGAATGGGCAAAAGCAGACATTGTTGGTTTGCAGGCCGTTTCCGTGTACATCATGACTTGTAAATGAAAGTGGCATATAACTCTGGCCTGTGTATGTTACGCAGCTGGTCTCCAGATTTGGCACATAGCCCAATCAAATGTCAAACCCCCTACCCAAAAGACTGGTCTATTGAACTTGAGTTCCCAAGGGAGTGATGCTACTGTAACAGGCTCCTTGTATGCCTGGAGACCTGCTCCAGGCTTCCTCTGAAACCCTGCTGCCGCCTCAGTGATTGACAGGCTTCGGTGTCCTTCATCTGAGTCATTGCATCACTGTAATGCAGGACACTGGATTTCCACGTCCCCGGGTCAACAACTTTCATGATCATCACACCCGCTGTGTCAAAGAACCAGCACCTTGATGAAAGAAATGTGAAAACTTCTGAGTTCCCGGCGGAGGGCCAGTGGAGTCATTTGCTCATTATGTGCTTATAAACCCTGTTGCACATGTGACTCTTCCCAAGGTGAAATTCCCTACATTTGCACCACTGTTAAAGAACATTCACTCTTCCTGGTACAGGGCACATCCTACAATTTCAGCACATCGTACAGAAAAAAGCGACTTGGAAACCCCTAAGGCGTTCTATCAATGTGGATTGTTTGTTTTTATGGCATCTAAAATATATATTTAATGCAAGATGTGCAATCAATTCTTTTCTAAAATAAATGGAATACATATATTTTACCCAACTTAAGTTATTGCCACCAGTGGTTTAACCTCAGAAATGTATCTGTCATTTTAAGACTGCGGATCCAGATTAGACGCAAAATTCTGAGTTACAGGAAACTGCTCCATTCTCTCTAATGCCACATTAGTGGAGAATTCCTAGTCATTTGATTTGTACAGGATAATATATGTTTGAGACCAGGCCTGCAGCGTTCACTGCAATGAGGTTATGTGGCAATGATTTTTTTAAACTTAATTGCATCATAGCTGAAATGAAGCTCCCTTGTTTGGCACTGGTAATGAGTTAAAATACCACTGCGCTTGGCAGGAGTTGCATGTGTTGGTGGAGAGCTATAATGATGTGGCCAGACACAGATGCTTGTGTAGATTATACACCATTACCAAAATCATACACATCAACTCAAGCACTGATTATACTGTATCAGCCCTTTGAAATCAGTGGCCACAGACCTTAATTCATAAGGGAGAGCAGCAGGACAAAACCGTTGTCATGATTCCAGAGTTCACAGCTGTGAAAGGCAAGAGCATGTTTTTCTCGAGCGGAATTGAGGCATGAAGGAAAGAAAAGAATCGGAGCCCCAGTTAAGGCTGATATCTTTATGTGGACTACGTCTGGGAATCCTCCTTTTCAGTGTTGATGTGAGTCTTCACGAAGATCCCAGTTTTGATTGCAAAAATTGTCGTCCTCTGGGTTTAGGGTGATTTGTTTTGCTGTTATTAATATAATGAATAGATTGATATGAAACTGAATGAATATGTATGTACCACTTTCTAGAAAGTGTTGAATCATAAAATATGTTCTGTAATGTGACACTTATTGCATAAAATTAGGTTACCCAAAACAGGAAAGAAGTGCACACAGAACAGCCTAATCTACACATCAGCCCTGCTGTTTCAAATGCTTGAAAGATCTCTTCCATAACAGAATATGCAGCAGCATTTTTGGAATTGTTTTAATTGCTTTAATCTAGCAGAATGAAGACATTAAAGTGACTATGACTAGGAAATCATTGTAAGCCAACTTATTTTAGCCATAATTGAGCATAATACAGCTGCAATTAACTGTAAACACTGTGTGAACTACAGTAGTAAACCTGCTATTTATAGTAATCGTTTAGCCAAATGATAGTGTACGGTTAAGCTTTCAGCATCTGAAGCTATGCCTGTTACTCCAAGTATATGTTGCTAACTTTGATTGCTTCCTATATTTCTCACAAGGCTGTTGCGAAAGACAATTGCATGACTTTAGACCTGTGTCTGCCATTCTTTTAAGGTGTTTTTTCCCTTGAGTTTTGAATATCAGAGTTTATCTCTGCTTCATTTTTTTCTTAATTTCATGCTTCGTTTTTGCCAAAAGCTACCTTGAAGAGGTAAGCAGGAAACTGTTTTCTTTTTGTTCTTTTTGTTATTATATAAAAAATAATCCTTTATCATCAGTAATCTAAATTGCTTGTGTTCCTTCACCATATTTTGGCTTTATAACAGCCTTTTTGTGTGCTTTATGGCTTTTGCATAGATCTTTTCACATTGTACCATTTCTATAGACCGGTCATTCACAACTACACCAGCGTCAAACACCCAAGACTTTTTTTTCTTCCTGACCCACATCTATAAGCTTTACATTTAGGGTAATGACTACTGTTTTCAATAACCAAAGGAGCCCTAAGGTGTCAAGGATGAAATGCTGGTTTAATGTGAGCTTAATTATATATATATAACAGGTCAGACTGTGGACGTCAAGAGCTCTGGTGTTTAGAATTTATTTTCTTATAAAACCTGGAATAGACTAATCCATTCAAGCAGCCATATCACCCTGCAACTCGCCACTGGCAGCCCCACTGCAGCTAAGGAGGTGTGAGCCTGGTCAGTACCTGGATGGGAGACCTCCTGGGAAAAAAGGTTGCTGCTGGAAGAAGTGTTAGTGGGGCCAGCAGGGGGCGCTCACTCTGCGGTCCATGTGGGTCCTAATGCCCCAGCATAGTGACGGGGACACTGTACCGTAAACAGGCACCGTCCTTCGGGTGAGACGTAAAACTTCGGGTGAGACTCTCTGTGGTCTCTCGAAAAGAGAAACTGGCCACATTTCCCATTGGCCCTACCAGTCCTGGGCTCCTAATAATCCCTATCAATGAATTGGGTTCATTCTCTCTGCTCTCCTCCCCACTGATAGCTGATGTGTGGTGAGCGTTCTGGCGCACTATGGCTGCTGTCGCATCATCCAGGTGGGGGCTGCACATTTGTGGTGGTGGAGGGGAGTCCCCATTACCTGTAAAGCGCTTTGAGTGGAGTGTCCAGAAAAGCGCTATATAAGTCTAAGCAATTATTATTATTAATCATTTAGATCAGGGGTGTGTAGTCCTGGTTCTGCAGCTCCAAACTAAGGCAGGTTTTAAAGATCACCGCTAATCATCCGTCGGTAATAATTAGTCACAAACATAAGCGGGCTCAGTTTAGCTAGTGATTTGTTCGGTGAAGTCAGGAGTGTCTGTGGTCCAGGATGGCTTTAGGGTGTTCATTCTCAAAGGACTTCTTAATGACTTCATTCAGCCGCAACCAGCTTGAGAGGAAAATAGCTCTGACTTTAGAAAGCAGTGATTTAAGGGTAGTCTAATTCAAAATCGGAGGAAGAATTAGAAACAAGAATCATTTACAAGAGGCCCTTAAAGGATCAGACAATTGAATGTAACTCTAGCTATTGCCCTTGGTTTCCAAACATGAGAAAGTTATAAACTGTGGTCGGGTAATGACTTATTAGTCACTGCGTAATGAGAGGACATGAGCAAAGTAGAATTTTATAAGCTATGTAGAAACTAAAAGATTGTTATTCAGATCATTTTTTGTAAATCTCCACTACTTTTAAAATAAAGAATATTAATTAAGAAACCAGCCATCCTTTTCTTTTTTTGGAGGGGACAAAGACTAGCTTTTGTTTGTTTTGTTTTTATTTTATTGATTCTTGTCACCTTCACCTCAACCACTTTAGAACTGAGAGCACATTGTCTAGAGTAGTGCTGTAGCCCGGAGTGTGAACTCATACCGGAGGGCTGAAGACTCATTTCCCCAAAGCATGCTCTGCTGCTGGCCTCAGTGATTTGCTCCACCCAAATCAGTACAGGAAATTGAGGATCTACCTGTGACATACAGGTATCCCTTTCAGGAACAGTTCTTACCTTCTGTGGTCTCCTAATTTCACTTAGACAAAGATAATCCCTAACCCCATGATAAGGCCTTCGCCTTAACCTGAACATTTCACTTGTTGGAGATACTCTTTGCACTTCATAAAGCAACTACGATTTGTCCATTATATTTTGCTGTAGATTTGCTTTTAGTCCAAATCATTTTGAAGCATTCCATGTCATTTCTAAAACAGGGGTCTTCAACTTCCGCACTGAGTACCAATATTAGGCAGGTATTGCCAATTCTCTTTTAATGTCAGACTAGTGTAACCAGAACTTAAGTGAAAAAATCTTCTACTTTTGAAAGACCTTCAGCTACTGATAATTGGCAGAGACCAAAAGAACTCT